GCTCTTACAATTTCACTTCTATTTCTTTGATTATATTTTCTGTTTGCTCTATTTTAATCCCATTCCTCTCTTGATGACTTTTGTTCTGTTTGGCAGATTTTTTTTTTCCCTTCACCCTTCAAGAATGCTGAATCCACCAATGAGGAATGATTTGTATACACTGTCATTTCTATTTGCTATTTTACTTTGGTTTGGTTTTTGGGGTTTTTTGTGGTGGTTTTTTTTTTGTTTTCTTCATTGAGACAAGGCAGGCAGTGTGCTGTGCTAGATATCAGTACAGTGCACCTCAGGTACACTGAAAGCATTTGACTTCACCTTATATAATTTCTAGAATGTACTTTCTTTCTCTTCGCAGCAAGCCAGGACAGGAATTTGGCTAGATTTTGCCACATTTCTGAAGCACTATATAGCTAAGTGCTTCCAGAACAGCTGATGCTGTTGTTGCAATGTTCAGCAGCCTGCTGAAAGTGTGAGATATGAAGCAGATTATCTAACACCCAAATACTGGCTTGTGTGAGACTTTAGATAAGGATATGATTTAAATGTGTGTATCCAATCTGTAGAAAGTGGTGGCACTGCAAAAAATGAAATTATAGGTTGCATTGTAGGTGAGTTCTATGGTGCAATCACTTCAGATGAGTTTGAAGTGCAGTTTCCTATATTTGCTTCTGTATTCCTATTTTTCTGCTCCTTACTATTTCTTAGATAAATAAGGATTAACTTTTCTGTGCCTTATTGCTTACCCTAGTCATTTCCTGAATTTCAAAAATGTCATTGAATATGTCTTTGTTAAAAATAATAATAAGCTATTAAGCTAGCTTATTCAACATGCTCAAGTCAAAAGATATGTACAATCATTAAACTGCAGTGAATGAAAGGATTTTGTAAGGAGGCAGCTTTTCAATTTGAATTTGTTGAACTCTACAAAATAAGCCAAGTTTGAAGAAAAAATATATATTTAATGACTTTGAAGTTATAAAATCTGAAAGGCTTTTTGATGAATGTGGAGGATTATTTTCTCTGCTCTGTTTACAGCCTAGACTATTAGGACAAAGATTGACTGTAAATTTTAACATAAAATTTTCTGAGGCCTGGCCTCTAATTCTGCTTCACAGGGAGGTGTGGGAAAGAGGATAAGAAATTCTAAGACTAATTCTGGGTTTGATTTAAATGCTGATTTATTTAATCTTACTATATCTCTGTTTCTATAAAAATCCTGCCTTGCAATGACTGTGAAATTTCCCAATATTTGTAACACATTTTAGAAAACTAGTGTCCAGATTCAGGTCAGAATGTGTCCCACACATTTTCAGGTTCTTGTTAGTCCTGATGGGCAACATAATAGCAGTGACTGGGAAGCATCTCTATCCCTGCATGCTGTTTCTCGCACCAGAGGAGCAATTTAAAAAATAAACTAATTTTATCTACTGACAGGTCATTGATTAAACCAGGAAATGAGTCAGGATGTTCAGAGAACCACCTGAGCTTCTAGGTGCAGTGGAACATTTTCCCTCTTGTCACTGAGCAGCATTCCTTCCAGCTGTAGCCTCACATGCATGGGGCCGGTGCTCTCCACCTCAGAGACCGCAGCAGTGGAAGTGCTTTGCTCCATGCATAATTTTGTGTCTTGCTTAGATAAATGGAAAATGTGATTATGGTTTATTTTGATGAATTTGGACATAGGAATGCAGGATGCCAACTTCAGTGAGACCTGCCCTAGAACGTTAATCTAGCCGAATGATGTTTCATTGGAATGACTGCTGCTGCCAAGTAGTTCAATGGCATTTAACTGGTTAAAGAGATGTGAAACTATGGGCCATCAGTCTTCAAATACATGTCTTTACAGAAAGATTATCACTTAGATTAACACTCTTCTTGGATATTTATGAGATCTTGCCGAAATCTTAGAGGTCCTCACATTTTAATGCATTTGCAAGGCTGGGTGTTGAATGAGTGAAGAAAAATGTAGTATACGTGGTAGATAATCCTCCTGATATCTCCAGATTGCTACTCTGTGCAGAAAAAAACATATTTTGCCAAATGAGCTGCCCCCTATCTCTCTGCCTGACTGAACTCTCATTCTTTTGTCATCCAGGAGTTAGGAAAATGTTTCTGTGATTTCACTGAATTTCCCTTGGAACATTATCAAGTTAAAGTGAATACAGCTGCTTTGTCTGAATATTTTTAATTTATAATGCTTACATATTTAATAGCTATTAAATATGAATATCTAGGTGACTGGAATAACTTTATTTGGGATGTAGGTTCTTTCATTAGACAAGTCTAACGACTGCAGTAGTAACTACATTTACTAAAGATGCAAGTCAAGAGATTGTTAAAAGTGTGTCCAAATGAACATTAAATATTAAGCTTTCTTCTGTTTGCTTCATAAAGTACAGTGTTTATTGTGACAATACTTCATTGCTTTTCTGTTTTTAGGGATGTGTTTAATGTTTCAGCACTATTGTACACTTAAGATACTTCAAGAAGGTACAACTACTTAAAAAGCAGTATTTGACTACAAATCAGGCAAATTAAAATATCAGTTATTATCTCTCAACAGATTTTACCTGATTAGTGGTGGAGTTCCTTTTATTATATGTGGGATTACAGCAGCAACCAATATCAATAATTACGGGATTGAAGGCAATGCACCATAGTAAGTATAAACTATTATCATAAAACTTCTAAGGAAAACATACTCTTTTTCTTATGTCGATAAATGTAACTGACTTTATAAAGGGTACAGACATGCCATTTGGGATGACATTTATTATGAAATTTTATTAAATAATAGCTATGAAAGAGCAATGTCTTAATCTGGGGCTTCCTGCTTCACCTCTTCCAACTTGACTCCATTATGGTCAATAGAATCACTTTTCAAGTACAGAATTGCTCATCATTTACATCTGAATAAGTGAAAGGATATTAAAAATACCTAATGGATAGCATACTTAATGGAGCTACTAATCAATTAAGTACTTTCAATTCATTATCTACCTTGAATTGATATCCTTCAGGTGACTTATTTAGAGTCATTTACAAATAATTATGTGAAAAAAGGACAAGTAAAAATCCCTCTTCCCCTTCCTCCACCCCCAGCCCTCCCTTAAAAAAACAATTATTTCGGATTTTCACCATCTGGAAATGTTCCAGTCACAATGTCTTGCAGTCCTGATATAACCCTCTAGTGTACTAGTGTGTTAGTGTTCAGTACACCTCCACAAGCTGTCCAGGCATCATATTGTTATTAATTCTTGGCATGAAACATGAGATATCAATAAAGTACAATAAGTCTTTCCATGAAAGTGTAGCAGAAAATGAATCAGACTGCAAAGTTAAATACATCCTGTGTAAATGATCAGCATGGCAATGGCTGGAACACTAATGGAGATACTAGTACTCTGACAGCACTAGTACTCTGGAGGACATCACTCTTAGTTACTGCTTTGAGATCTATGTAATATGTTTGAAACTTGTTATGTGGAAACAAAGGAAAATGGTTTGTAAGAAAGCATTTGCCTCCTTAAAGGCATTTTTATAGGTAATTGAAATTTAAATTCTGGTAATATATTAGTACTGGGTAACTGTGTGCTCTGCCTAGGGCCCAACTAATATTCATATATTTATTCAAACATCCAATTAGACAATAATTTAAAATCCACAGTGTACTAAAAGACTCAATTATTGACATTCATAAATGTGAGACATTTTTCATTTTGGCACAGTTACAGAGGTTATACTTTTTTAATCATGTTAATCATAGCCAATCAATAACAAGGCGCAGATGAGGGATGGTTATAAGACTGAGTAAAAAGACAGCTTCTAATTCAACAACAGCATAGTGAGTTATATGCTTTATTCATTTTTAATAGTATTAGTACAGTAAATGTAGATGCACAAACTTGAACTTTTTTTAATGGAACTGATTTTTCAAGTGATCCACGATGAGCTTCCACTTGAAATAAGAGCATCCCAAGAGACTGTTCCACTGGGGAGCACGCCATTCTCTGCTTTGCATCAAATATGCAGCATTCAAATGCATTTAAATTATTCGTGTAGCTTTGTGCTCTCTGCTTATCCAATTAAATATAGGTGGTAACTTACCTATCTTTTCACAGATATCTTTCAGGGAATCTTCTCATGCACATGTCAGCAAGCAAAATATATACTCCTTGGAGTGTCTCTAAGTTCATTAATAAATGTGTGTATGTTTTTGTTTAAGGTTCAGATTTTTAAAAATTTAAAGTATTTATTTTGCATTTTCTTGTGATACACCTAGTGGGACTGCCTCATTTTATCTGAGAAGTTCTCAGCCTGGGAAAAAAAAAATCATCCTGCCCTTTTTAGAGTAAGTGGTATATGATTCCTGGCTTGACAAGAATGTGATATCAGAAGGCTCCTTGCTGTATCGGAGGGACTGCAACCAATCACACACACCTAAATAAGTGTGAAGTGTCACACAGTGTCAGTTTTAGAGCTGGAATGGATCATGACAGATCACCTGGTCTGTCTTTCTGACCTAGTGGGAAATTAGCTATATCCAAACCATTCCTGACAGTTATTTATCTGAGGTCCTTTAAATGCTCTGATAATGGATAGATGACACTTCATTGCAGCAGCTTATTATCCTAATTGTCCTAACAACTTGGAAACTTTTGGAAAATCTAATTTAAATTTCTTGTTGCAGTTTAAGCCCATTACTTCTTGTCCAACAAGTCCAACTTCTTGTCCTAGTTTCCTCTTTCCAGAAATCCATGCAATATTTAGAGTATAAGAACCTAATAACAGCTGTACTAGCTTATACCACCAGCTCAGTTCCCTGTCTGTAACCATGGCTAAAAGCAGATCATAGAGAAGAGTAAAAACTAGGTAAATATTCCTTCTTCCCCTGACCCAAATTCTCCCAGTTTCCATCTGGGATTTCATTAGCCAGAAGTGTTTTTTTCCCCATTTATTTGATCAGATCATTCATCCTCAGGACAGTCCAGTTAAATTGTTACTAAATTATGCAGCTGACTGGGGCTTATTCAGCTCATACTGGCCTGTGAACTACTTTAAGCTGCTCTAAAACAGTTATGGCTATATTATTTAAAGGCTAAAAAATAATGATCTGTGCTACAATAATATTATGCTACCAGTGTATCACAAAGAGACCATCAATTTCCTTAATTTTTCTGAGGACATTCAAATTGATGTAAATTAACTCCCAGGAATTTCAGAAATGGCAGAGAATTCATAAATGGTTGAGAATTCAGAAATGGCAAATATCTTTTGGGCTCGCTCATTGCAGAAAGCAGTGACTGTTCAACTGGAAGTCTTTTTTCAGCCTCTCTTATTACTCAGGCTGTTCTCTGCTTTGGCAACAAGAAAATTCTGTAAGAACAATCTTCAGGCTTAAGAGTTTGTTTCAATGATCATTGATACAAACCACTGAAATCTGTACATTTCTGTTGCTCACACAGATTGTATAAACTATGCATCATTTGCTTTTTAATCAAAGTATTTGTGCTGACATTTTTAATAGTAGAAAAAAGGCTGACATAAATGGTCTCATACTTCACTGCAATTCTAGATTCTAAACTGACCTACATTTCTTGGAAATTTTCAGCTTTAATATCCTGTAAATTATACTAGACATTTTATTCTATTAAAAAATATGAAAGTGATGTCTCAGCTTAATTGATATTAAAGACACACTCCCTTTCTCCACAACGAACATATCTGAACTTCGGAACTGTTGGGTCATACAAGTTAATCAGAAAGCCCAGTTTCACATCAGTCCGTTGTCCATCACATCTAATGTGTGCTATAAAATGTTCTTGACTCTCTCTTCTTGTTGTTTTCAGTTGCTGGATGGCATGGGAGCCTAGTCTTGGTGCTTTTTATGGGCCAGTAGCATTCATTGTCCTAGTCACCTGTGTTTACTTTCTCTGCACGTATGTGCAATTGAAGCGTCATCCTGAACGCAAGTATGAGTTAAAGGAAAAGACAGAAGATCCACAGAGAATACCAAGTACTGAGGTGGGCCATGGTCATATTGCAGACTCTGTGTCCATTCCCCAGGCAACCTGCTCCATGATTTCTTCTTCCCTATTGGAAAATGAGCATTCGTTTAAGGCTCAGCTTCGAGCCGCAGCATTCACTTTGTTCCTGTTTACTGCCACCTGGACCTTTGGAGCACTTGCAGTATCTCAAGGTCATTTCTTGGATATGATATTTAGCTGTCTTTATGGAGCCTTCTGTGTGACCTTGGGGCTTTTCATCCTGATCCATCACTGTGCAAAGCGAGATGATGTGTGGCACTGCTGGTGGTCCTGTTGCCCATCTAGAAGAAACACCTATTCTGTCCAAGTTAATGTGCGCCCAAAGGTTAATGTCAATGGTGATGCTCAGGTTCATGCACCTTGTCTTCAGGAATCACCATGTCCCAACAAACAAGCTGTGTTTAATCATCCAGCAGCTAGCCACTGCAAACTTACTAATCTGCAAGCAGTTCAAAATCATGTTAACTGCCTTTCACCTGTGACACCATGTTGTGCAAAAATGCACTGTGATCAGCTACTTGATGATGAAGCTCACATTCACGTCCACAACGAAGGAACATTCAGACCCAACATGCACATTCATAGATGTCTGAAAAGCAGAACTAAGCCACGTTATTTCAGTCGGCATAGGTCTGCGGGTGAAAGAGAATACGCCTATCACATTCCTTCAAGTATCGATGGCAGCATCCACAGCTCACATACAGACAGTCCCCACAGTACACATGACAGCCAGTCAGGTCACAGACGGGCCTGCTGCTCAAAAAGCGATCCATATCCTACTGTCAACCAGCCTGAAAGTAGCGACGCAAGTACTGTAATATATAGTTGTGCTAAAATGCCAGAAAGTGACACTGTGCACCATCCAGCTCATTTTGAAATGCACCCACGGACACAGTCATTGCCATTTAATACGACAAATCACAATGGAATTCTCAAGGGAAACGTGCATGAAGCCATGATATACAGCTCAGATAGTACAGGAAATATCAAAACTGGCCCTTGGAAAAATGAAACTACTGTGTAGTTCATGGGCCATCATAATGTGTTTTATTCCCTAAACCATCGTAATCTTTGTTTTTATTCCAAACTAAATAAGATGACATATTTGTGTAGCTCATCAGTAAATTGTACAGCTTTTCCATCTTTATTTCAATTTTCTTAATAAGAGTCTAAAGGAGATAGTGAGAGTTTTAAAGTGAAGTTATTTTTAAAAGAAAGTTATAAAATTATTCTGAAAGATAATTAGAAAACGAAGTCTAGGCAATTGAATAAGAGGCAATATCCTTTTGTTACAGAGAACATTTCTTCAGAAAGACATCCTTTTCATTCATTGTTTTCACTTTCGTTCTGTATTAACTTTAGATACTTTTAATAAACATATCAGCATCTTAAACTTTTACTTATTTATTTTTGTAGCAAAATGTTATTACTGTGCCATGGATTTTAATGAGAAGTGACTATGGTAGAAATGATAAGCAGGATTTTATAAAATTACAGCTTTTTAGATCTACAAAAGTGATACTGCCTCTAAAGATCTCCTGTAGCATATGGCCTGTAAAGTTGTGTAATGTACAGTCTCTGTTCTGTCCTTTTTCTTGTTGGAGAGAAGTGCTAGGTAATGTCTCTGTTACATCTATGGTGCTGTATTGGTTGTATTTTGCATGCCATACGTCAGGATATACCATTTGCTGTTTTCTAGTGTTACATGTGTTAAAAAAAGAACAAAAAAAAAAGTGTTGTACAAGGCTGTGAAAATCCCTATTGATATTAATCTATAACATTATAAATCTACAGAAGAAAATCACTCTGCACTAGTTTAAGTGGCACAATCCTTTGTATAAGGTTATATGATAGCTTTGATAAGGGTCCACTCTAATGTCTTTACAGAGCATGCACTACTCATTGTATGTGACACTGTGCGGTGTAATAGCAGTTGTCTCAACAAGTTTTAACACTTCTTTGTAAAGTATGCCTTTTGAACAAATCTGTAAGCTGTTTCACGATAACCTTTCCACATCTGTTAAGGTAGAGCAGTTCTATCATTAACTCTTTGAGGACTACAGTTATTTTCTTAAAATAGCTTATTCTAGTTCAGAGACACTGTATATATGATACTGTCTATTTAGTTACATGATCAATGTAGTCTAGAGTTGTCAGGAAAGAGCAAGCTCAGTCATTTTCCAAAAACATACCTTCTTTGAGTCCATCTATAATTTTCACCACTTGCTTTCTGAAAACCCATTTCCTCCCCTAGCAAATTTCAGATTGTCTTCATCCCTTAATGCAAATTTGACCTTCAGAGAAGTTCTTTATGTTCATGATTTCTGCTGAATTGTAGGGCATTCCAGGGCCAGTACCATTTTCTATTAACAAGGCTCTTGGCAAGAAATTTTTTCATGTTTCATGAACATCTGGACACAAAGCATCAACTCACAGTACAGAACTACACCACAATTATCCTGTATGAAATGAAACCACTTTTTTCAAATAGGAAGGGTGCAGAATAATAATGAGTCACAGAAAGTGAATAGGAGCATAGAGCTGAGAGAAAAATGTCCACAGTGGAAAGTGAGCAGTGCATCCATAAATAACAGAAAAAGCACAATTTTCTATGGCAACATGAGAAAGTTTGCTGTTATGTCTTTAACACAAGCTATGTGATTGCTACATTGCTGCAGAGAGGAAATAGAAAATTCCCTTAAGAGATCATCAGTCTGCGATTCTCTGTGTATATGTTGCAGAAATCTTCACATACTTCAGACCATTATTTTTCTTGTAGTAGCAGTTTATTAGTCTCTACCTTTTTTTTAATATGTAGGAATACATAGTGTACATAAAGATGACAATTATAATTGTTAGAATGTTATAAAAACATGTAAGTCAGATGAATGTGTTCTGCAGTGTTGCAGGTGGGGATTAGTACTCAAAGGGTTAATGCTCAGTATCTGAGTGCAAGAAACCTTGTTTTTCTGTATTTTTGTAAATTTGAAATATATATTGTAAACTCCAGCAGTGCAATGTATCCATCTCAGATTGTGTATTTTTGAAAGGTGAGCAGGAAGAATGCACTAGATGGTTATTGAGTTTTAAGCCAGTACACGACAGTTTCATGACTGCTTCTTTAGCTAATACAAAAAAAAGAAACACATGAGCTTTATTATGCATATGCTGTGTATGCTTGAACTGTCTCTAACCTAAAATACAGTATTTTTCTTTGTTTGCATAATGAAATATTTTCTGTTTAATAATTATTTTCTTTTAATATTACTTTTTACTCATTCCACATAGACAGTGAGCCCTAAACAAGCATAGACATAATGTGAAATATCACTTCTCTGTATCCCAGCACTATGTATATGTATATTCTGTAATAGCAAAATCCTAGGAGGTCTGTAGACCATTATGCAAAATATTCCAAACACACAGCCAAGTGAAATACTCACTCTGCAAGAACCCACTCAGTGAGCTTCTTTATTCAGCTTGTGTTTTAATCACCTTTGTTATTGTGTCTGAGGCTAGTTCCATCTTCATAATGGCTTACAAAGAAGTAAATAGGTGCTGCTTTCCACAGAATATCTTACGTGATAAAACTCTCTGGAATTTAAACATAAAATATTAAAACACTTTTCTTATTGTGTTAACAATTAATTTAGTGAATATTCCTGGGCTAATTTGGAAGAGATGTGTTATGCAAAAATCTGTTTGCATATTATTTTTTCAGAAAATATACAGTATAACTACAGAGTAGGAGAACATGATATTAAATAAATATAAAAATGTTTTGTAATATCAAATTTGACCAAAATGCTTTTTGTGCTTTTGACTTTTTTTTTTTCCTTAAGATAAATGAGATAATTTCAATGCTTTGGGAGTCTGGCTTTGTTTTATTGTGGGGGCTTGGTCAATTATAGTCAGTGAACCATTACTACTTTACCTGATTTTCTTTCCTATAAAATAAAGTCAATGAAATAACTGGAGTATAAGAGATAAATTGTCCTAGTAAATTCCTCATGGACATACACATGTAACATGCTTCAAAGTCTGTAACGTGCTTCAAAGTCAGCATTAGTTTTGGAGATTCATTGACGACATAAAAATGACTGAACAGATTTTTACTGTTCACTTTCTGTCTGAGATCAAGCAAGAGAAATTTCATTCAAAAAAAGATAATTTTTGGAGAATGATGCAATCAATAGAAATCTGGAGGATTGTTATTACAGTACTACCAGAATGAAAACACTCTCTGATGCTGTAGTATTCTTCTCCCCATATAGAAATTCCGCTTTTCATGAGCAAATTTCAGATCATCTAAGTGACTCCATTTTAAGTCACATAGACTGTTCACAAGACTTCCTACCCAGCCTTATATAAAGAATTTTGGTATTAAAATCATATGGTTTTGCACATTATGCCTGATCATATGTGTTGCTGCCAAGAAGTCTGGTGGCTGTGTCTGTGCTAATATGACTGAGCAGTCACTGTCAGTGGCCATGAACACATGTTCTCCTTACCCCACAGCTGCCTGCCAGCATCCTTATCCAGATGTTATCCCACCAAGGGAGCCTTCAGTGCCGCTCTAAAGCATTCTTGCTGTCTAAACCAAAAGCAAAGTCTGTGCTTAAAGCAAAGTCAAGGTCACCTTTGATAGACAACACAGGCAACGGGGCAACCTCCACCTGAACACCAAGGGTGGAAGGCATATAAGCCTGATGGAAATGGCTTGAAGCAGTAAAACTCCTCCTCCTTCCAGCTCTCTGCCTAAAGTACCTGCATAGTAGGTCTGCTGCCTACAGACATCTGCCAAATCCAGACAAAATTATTCAGTTTACCTAAAATTCCTGGCTAGCTGAAATGAGAGTGAAACAGCACCGTGGAGTTAATGATCAGAGAAGCCCGAGTTGGAATAAACCTTTCTGGATGCTCTATCACAAAGCTGCTTCAGATTTATCATGTGTGGGGACATAGGTCTGAGCATCCTGGATGCCATGAAGATCTGAAATTGCTCTTGTGTACACGCTACTAAGGCTTACAAAGCAGACTGTGAGTCCACAAATTTGGAGGTAGCTTCCTCTGTAAATGATATTTACATTTTTACAATGAAGAGATTGTCTGACACAGGACACTTGAACACTTGACTATTTGGAAAAAAAAAAAAAAACAAAAAAAAAAACTGTCATCAGGATCAGGCCACTAGCCTTTTTAAGATAGAATCCTCTTTGCATGGACACACAAAAAAGGAAGGTGGGTATGGTTGTCTGTAAAGGAGACCACCTGTATTCTCACTGAGTTCTTGTTGCCTATGACAAGAAATGTCATCCCTATGAAGATGTTAGCAACTCAGCAGCTTCCTTACCAGAACATAAATTCAAGTTCCTGTACCAGCATCCTCTAGTTCAGAAAGAAGCTCTAGGAAGCAGATGGATTAATCAGGATTCATCAGCTGGGTTTAAAGGCTGGCTGGCTGACTTCAGTCGAGCAATTTCAGTAGTAACTTGGTGCTCTAGGCAGCTTTTACTAGCTTAGGTAACTCCACAGAGAAGGGAACTTTTGGTTTGGTTGTTTGTTTTCTTTTGCTGTGCCCAGGTGACCATTTTTTAATTAGCAATTGAATTGCTAGGAAGACAGCTTATTTTACAAATTATCCTGGCTCTGTAGTCATGGCTTTTTGTTCCCTGTTACTAGGTCTGTGAAGGTGCAAGTAAATTCCTGTTTCTTTATACTACCAGCCTGAGTTTTTCAGAAGCAAACAAAGAAGCACCAGTGAATGGAGGATGGTATTATAGGGCTCACTTCTTTGTAAGGAGTGTTGAAATTTGGTTTGCAAGGTTTAGAACAGTTCAACCTCAGACAAATATCTAGCCTTAAGGTTATGCAGCTGGCCGTGCCCGAGAGTTAAGAGGTTTTTTTGTAAACAGGGTGTCTGTATACCCCATAGGTGTTACTGTCTCTTTACAGTTTGATCTGCTTGAAATTCTGTAGTGCCTTGCAATATGAACAACAACATGACTGACTTCCCATCAGCCT